TTTGGCTGCCAGTAGTCCATATTTTTATGCTATGTTTACTAATGGATTATTGGAAGCTGGTAAAAAATCTATTGAACTTCCTTCAGTTTCTCCCGATGTACTTGAAACCCTTATTAACTTTATTTATTCAGGTAAAAAGAAACATTTATACATAGTACTTATTGAATATTATAATTAATTCAATGCTTACAATTTAAGGAGAAATAAATATTTATCAAGAAAATGTAGAAGAACTAATGATAGCAGCAGATATGTTAGAACTTAATGATGCTGTAAGTTGTTGTACTGAATTCTTGAAAAGTGAATTAGATTCATCTAATGCTATTGGACTACTTAGGTAATGATAACAAATAATATATCTGTTTAATGTTTGGATAATATTTTTATTATATTATTTACTATAAGGTTTGCGGATATGCACAATTTTACTGTTTTGCACAAATTATCAAAAGATTTTATCTATGGAAATTTTGTTCAAATTTGTGAAGAAGATGAATTGGGTGATTTATCTAAAGATCAATTTATTAAGTTTCTCAATAGTGAATATCTTTGTGTAGATTCAGAACAACAGGTTAATCATTTTGTTTATTATTTGATAAATTTATTATTTCATATACTAAGTTTTTGTCTTTATTTAGGTGTTTCGTGCAGCTATGAAATGGATTAAACATGATCTCTCTGATCGCCGTCGTTACATTTTTGAAATTCTTTCATGCATACGTATACCTTTAATGAGTACTCAGTTTTTAGAACGTGAAATTAATGATAATACAGATGCGAGCTTAAGAGTTGCTTTACGTTCTATTTATACCGACATAGCTGAACGCATTGGTAATTTAGTAGCTTTGCAAGTTGAACCTCGGTTAGGAGCCAAAAAAGATATTTACATATTAGGTGGATCTAAGAGAGAAATATGTAGTGCTTGGTCTCGATATTCTGAGTCTACATTTGAATCTGTTGTCAAATTTAACACCTTTAGGAAGTAAGTGACTGTAATTTTATTTTATTATTCAACTCATTTTAATTGACATACTTAATTCTTATATTTTAGAGAATGGTGTGACATAAAACCAATGAATATTGGTAGGATAATGCCAGGAGTTGCTATACTTAATGGTTGTATATATGTTGTCGGAGGTGAAAACGAATCACTTATCCTTTCAAACGGGGAATGTTATAATCCTATTGAAGATAAATGGACATCTGTTGCTGGGATGACTGTTCCTCGATGTGAATTTGGAATGGCTGCATTAAACGGATATTTGTATGCAATTGGAGGATGGGTTGGAGATGACATTGGCGGTTCTATTGAAATGTGAGTTTTATTGACATTATTTAATTAGTTAGGATTAAAATTATTAAGATTGACTTTTGTCTATAGCTATTCACCATCATTAAACCGATGGACAATGTGTAATAGCGTGCTACCCGAACCACGATTCAGTATGGGAGTCGTGTCATTTGAAGGTGTTAAAAATAATAATTTATTAATGTATTGAAACTAATTTGTCACAATTATAATTAGGTTTGATTTATATCGTGGGTGGGTGTACTCGCACTAAGCGACATCTTCAAGACTTATTGAGTTATAATCCAGTGACTGGAGAATGGTCTATTTTAGCACCAATGTTAGTTCCACGTAGTCAAATGGGAGTTGCAGTTCTAGACAAACATCTCTATGTTGTTGGTGGTATTACCAGCAATAATGAGGTGTTAAATTTGGTTGAGCAATATGACTTTGAAGAAGTAAGAATCATTAACAAACTCCTAACATAATAAATGTTTTAATTTTTACAATATGTTACAGAATACTTGGAGTTTTGTAACTCCAATGAAGGGTAAACGTGCTAGTCCAGCTGTTGCAGCTGCTGATGGAATGTTATATGTAATTGGTGGTGATATTACGCACACAATTAATTCATACAGGTCCCAAATTACTATTTCTACAGTTGAGAGATACAATAACTCAACTACACAGTGGGAAGATTTACCATCACTTCCAGAATCTAGAAGTGAGGCTGGTGTTGCTGTATTGTAAATTATAAGCACAAATTCATCAGCATACATATATTTTTTAATTTTTTTAAGGAAATGTATGTATAATCATATTATTTATGTTTGTTGTTATTCTACTAAGTTCAAACGAGAACGCACACTTATTTGTTTTATACCTTATCCTAATAATAAAAAACAATCAATACATAACATCAAATATTTATTAAATTAATATTAATAGATAACATTGTATCATCGGTTTTGTATGCGATGTCGTTTTCTGTTTTTTCTACCATCTTCTAATCTCTTCCGCTTTCCACCACTTTTCTTTTTTTCCCATTCTAGTTGTTTTTTTGAAGCATTATCCCTTATTAATATGTCATCTCTTCCGCCAGATTTTTTTTTACCAGCTGCATCCAACATGGCAGCAAACTTTTCAGCAGGCACAGCTAGATCTGCCAAATTCTTTGACTTATGTGGAACAACAAATTCATCATCATTGTCATCATCACTTTCAGATTCCTCTATGGGCTGTTTGACTTTTTTAGATTTAGCTTCTTTCTCAAAACCACGTGAAAAATCATACTTTTTCTTTTTCTTAGCACCCATCATGCCATCTAATAACTCATTGAAATCATCACTATTAACACTGTCTACATCACTAAAACCATCTTCATCTGGATTTTCGACAGTTTTATTCTGTTTTGGTCTCTGTTTTAAGTATTTATATAAAAATACTTCATCTAAAGGTATTTGTTTCTCTTCATGTCTTAAATATTCTTCACTTACTACAGACATGCTTTTTAACCCTTTAGGAGCATAATGTTTTCTAGAAGTACCAACAGATCTAAAAAGTTCTACATTTTCTTCACCTTCACCCTGTCCTTGTCTTGGTTTTTTAGGGTTTTTAAACGAAAACCTATCAAGAAAATGTAATAAAGTGAAATCTGCTAGAGGGTTTCCATCATAGTAAATAGATTTACCAGATATTATTCTATTTGCAAAAGTTGCAACAGTAGGATGATAGTGTCGACTTAAAGGAATAAGTTCAGCCAAAACTGCATGTTCACCTCCTGAAAATCTTGGATTTCTAGCAGTATAATCATAAAAATTTTTAACTTCTCGTTCTTTTGGCCCTTCTGGTAATTGTGGATCCTTTATTATTTGAGGAGCTTTAACATGATACCAAGAAGATTTTAAAGACGTTTCAGTTGAGTCTGTCAAATTTGATTGTACATCAAAATATTTTTCTTCTTCAATTTCTTCATTTTTAATTGTATCATTTAAAATAGCTAATGGTTTTGGTATAACTTCAGTTTCAACGTCTTCAAATTTAGATTTACCAAGTATACCTTTATGTTTCTTCATTAATCGTGACAACATACAAAATATTCCAGTAACCAAAGGAACTGGACAATATAAGCACATTTGAAATACACGCTTCACAAAAGCTACCATACGTTCGAGACATTTATCATCCCAAATGGATTTATAAATTAAGTGAATACATATGGCTTGATGAGATGTAGTGATTAATCTTTCATCAAATATTTTTCTATACAGTGCACTATAGTACCTATCGTTATTTTCCAATTGTCTAATCAACAACAAAGCCTGTAAAGATATGTTGAATGGAGCTAAATGAACAATTTTGTACATTGTTTGTATTTGTTCTGGCTGAATACCACTTCTTACATGAGGATACGATTTATTAACACCAACTAATAAGGCTCCAATGAGTCGTGAATCAATTGCTCCGGTTTTAACACATGCTTTGAAGAATGACAAATAAAGTTCTATTACTTCTTTAGCCATTTCTTTAGTGTCGATTTGAGTTAAAAAACAAATACCATAGTATTGAGCTCTTGGTTTGATGTTTGAACGAAAGAGTAATTTTCTCACTTCTTCAAAAATAGTATGATTAAGATTTGATCGGTGTTTCAAAACAAGCCGCAATGTATACATAGCTTTTGAAGCAACCTTATGAACTGTATCACCAAATTTGTTTACTAAATATTTAACGATCTGCATTTCACATTCAGTACTACTGATTAACAATTTGTACATGGCTGAAATACTTTTTTCCCGATTTACCGGTACAGAGTCTAATCCAACAGTGCTTAAAGCTTCGACAAAACCAGAATATATATTCTTCAGTTTTTCTTCAAATAACCAAGAGCTAAGCAACAGCTTACGTTGTTTCAAGTCATCCACTTTTGACAATTCACTCAATGGTTGATGTTCAAAAGGTAACAGTTCAGTTTTCAATAATACTCTGGTGAACAATTCCGTTAAAGAATCAATGACAAGAGAACACTGTTGTTTTTTGCCGATTTTCACCATGTTTACGAGATTCTGTATTGCGGCGATGTTGTGCAATGGATCTTCTTGGATCTTTATGGTGAGTGCTGCAATCTTGTCTGAATACGTACCTTGTTTGGCGATCTCGGTTATCCATGATTTCTTTTTATCGACCTGTGGCTGATGTTCCAATACTTTTTCTGCTTCCGACCGCAGAGCTTCGACTTCGGACGCCGAAAGCTTGGTGCAATTTCCGAACGATGGTAAACTCTCATACCATTTAGGCAAGTCGATGTCATCGGCATCAGAGTCCGAGTATAGTTGATCGTAACCATCATCGCCTTCCAACTCGCTATCTGTTTCCGACGAACTCATACTTTTACCGCGATCGACTAACCGGACTAACTATTAAATATGAAATAAAATTTGCGAAGATAATTTATTTTTTACTTTATATTTTTCAACGTTTAGTTGTAACTTGTAGCCCGTTAATCATGCACATGTTTACAGGCTACAGCTTAACGTTGTTTAAAATGTTATCGATATTGTTATGTTATCCAATTTTTAAAATCAAGCATGAATATTTTTTGGTTACTTTACAGTGTGACAGCGTGAACGAAAACCAAAAATGTTTATAATTTGATGATAAGAAACTTAAGTGTTTTCATATCTTGTGATTATATTCCGATTTCTCACGTGGGTACTGAAATAGTGTACCTACCTATACTCTATAGAGTATAGATTATAGTTGATAATTTTTTTATAAACAATTTTTACTCACGGGTTAGTAGTAGTTACTACTTAGTAATTAGTACTTACCTATTCAATATTATTATTCTGAGTTCTATGAAATGTTTTCTGTTAGTGCATAACTGTTGACTGTTCGTAGTTTAGATTTCTATTTTAGATAGAAAGTGAAAACAATCATAATTCGCAATGGAAGACAATATAGTCGTGAAAAAAGTCGAAGGCGGGAGTATCATAAGTCATCCTCCACTGTTTTCTGAAAATGGAAGGTTAGTAAAAATACATAATATTCATACTATATTAATTATTTAACGGTATTTTGTCGATAAATAGATTTGAAATTGTATGTTTGTATGAAATGATATTACCTATTTAATTCACAATTTGGTTTTTATTTGTTATTGAGAAATCAAGTTGTAATTTGTGTAGAATTTGAAAAAAAAATATGATTCTTAACTGTATTTTAAATTTTGATATACCTGATTCCAATCAAATATAATGATGTTTAAGTTTGTCTAAAAACAAATATCAGCTTAATGCTTAATTTTTGGATTTTTTAAGACCACTGGGAAAACAATCTAAAATATAACATTTTTAATGATCAATTAAATATTTAATTTTCTATTTGGAGATGTGCAGCTTTATGAGCTTTTACTGACCCCAAAAAATAATATTGGAAATCTCATAAGTAATTTCCTTTTTATATTTTACTGGTATTAATATATATATATTTTAATTGTATTTCGTTTTTAATTATAATATACCTAATCATTCTTAAGTTTTTATATATTTTAAAAAATAGTTTGATATTCTATCTGTTTATTAAGTTTTAATTATTCAATATTAAATATAGATTCATCTATGTGGGCTGTGGTGCAGATATCAATTGTTTTAGTGTGAGCTCTGGAAAATTAGTTGCCAGCTATACTGCCAATCAAAATTTTGGTAGAATTGTTAACTTATGTTTTCATCCTTCTGATGATAAACTATTGATTGCTATTCACTTGAATGCTGTTATTGTTTTTTGGAATTTGATTGGAACTCATGCTGCCACAATTTTTAAACAACAAGTAATAATATTTAAACTTAATATTTATAATTTCAATAATTGCTAATTATCAAGATTTGTTTTTTTTTTTTTTTTATCAGGAATTAGATCTAAAAAAATATCATATAGTAAATGCAAAATGTTTGTCAAGAACTTATTGCTCTTATGATGTGGATTGTATTATTGTATCATATAAATTACAAGAAACTAATAACAACAATATCAATATTGGTTTATTTTCATTGGAAGAAGGAACACTACTATACAAGTTTGATGAAAAGTAACTGATTGAATTGTCAAAAAAAAAAAAAAATCATATTTAATGCATAATTTTATTTTAGTTCGGAAAATTTACCACATATTTGGTCAATAGGAGGTTTTGAAGATGTACCTTATTTTGCCTTTGCTAATAAAAATATAATATATATTTATAATTTATTGAATTATAAAAAAAATAAGTATGTTAACTACAAATAAGATTATTTAAAAAATATTAAATCAATGTTATTATTAACTAACATTTATCTTAATAGAATTAAATTAGGGTCAGATAGAACAGTAACTGTTGTACAATGCCATCCTAATTCCAATACTCTAGCAATTGGAGATAACACAGGAAGAATTGTTTTGTATTATAATGTAATGCATAAAAATACAAGATCTCAAACTGTTTACCATTGGCATACACTTCCTGTAAATGATGTTATATTTACTAGTAGTGGTAAGATAATAAATATTTTTAACAAAAAAAAAAATATTTGGTGAATTTTATATATTTGATTGCAGGTAACAATTTTTATAGTGGAGGTGCTGAAAATGTGTTGGTCAAATGGTTTTGTGAAAATACAGAAACTAGACATTACTTACCTAGATTATCCGCCAATATTGTTCATTTATCTGTTACAGAAGATAGCCAATATGTTGCTGTGTCCACACAAAGCAATAGTAATGCAAATTAATTAAATATATTATTTAAATAAAGACATCAAAGTATTTATTGTCATTTAATATTTATGTTTTAGGCATTATAATAGTGAACTCACAAAATCGTATACATTCTGTTATACAGACGTTCACTTGGGGAGTGCATGCTTCAAATGTAAATATTTTAATTAAATATTATTTTTAAGATTTATTAATACTTTTAATTTATTTTAGGCTGATGAATTTGAAAAAGTCTTTCCAGCAGGCGTTGCATTCGACAGTCGCTCAAGATCCCTTGTTACAAATGGATTGCCTGGCCACATTCAATTTTTTTCACTCGATCAATCACAATTAGCATTCAATGTTAGTGTTTGTTCTTTTTAAGTCATTGTTTTTTTTTTTAGTAGGCAACTGTAATTCAATTTTCGTTTATGTATTTGAATAGTTGGATATTGTGTGTCAAAATTTTACGACCAGAACAAGAGATCAAGGTGTATTCAATGCTGATGTTTGTTTATTGGCAATAAGTGATGATAGCTCATGGCTAGCTACGGTTGAACGAAGACCAATTGATGATAAATATGTAGTAGATGATGTTCTTAAATTTTGGACTTTTAATGAAAAATTGCAAATGTAATATATTAATACAGTAATATTTGTTATTTAAATTTGTTTTTAAATTAAATTAATATTTTTTTAGCTATAAATTAAATACATACACGAGTTCTGTAGATAGAATTTCAAAATTATGTTTTCGTCCATCAGTAGATTCTGATGGTTTACATATGGTTGCCACATTGCATGAAAATATGTATAAACTTTGGTCTCCATATAATTTATTGGAAGACGAAAAAAGTAAATATGATAATATTTTTTGACATCTTGATTAATGTAGTGAAAATAAATATTGAAATGTAACATAACGTATTAACTAAATTATTAATTGATGAATTTATATTTAATAATTTTTAGATCCAATTAAATCATGGCAACATGAGTATACAAGTAAGCTTTATCATAATCAACCGTTACATGCAATTAGTTTCTCTGAGGACGGTTGTATATTGGCTGCTGCTTTTGGGCCAAGTATAGTTTTAAAAGTTCTTGATGACACAGATGATTTCAAAACGAGTCTTACTCATGGGTTTGAACATATTAGGTAAATTTATTTAATTATTCAAGTTAAATTATTGTTTGTATTTTTTTATTTTACATGATTGGTGGTTAAACATAAAAATTAATTTTTAACTAGAGTAACATCTCCATGCTCATTTTCTCTTGTTTTTTAATCATTATCATTATTATTTTTTTTTTTTTTTCTATAATGTAATAGAGAATAGAGAATAATAGTATAAAAATATCTAACTTTATTAATATTCTAATGTATTGTTAATAAATATTTGTATTTATTTTGATACATATAGATTTTTAGAGTTTGGTAAAAACGCAAGCAGTTGGATGCTTGTTGCTGCATCAAGTACAAGACTTTTGATATGGAATGTGCTTAGTGAGACATTACTTACAACTATTTGGGTTCAAGTTGAAAGATTAATTGCTGATCCAATGTCAGAATATATGGCTATTTTTACTATTGATAATGATTGTTAGTAAACTTAAATTTGCATAAAGTTTCATTCTTAACTACTTAATTGTTTATTTTTAGTGATTGTTTTCACTCCAAATAGCAAGAGTGTAGTGTATAAGAAACAAAAGATATTTGGAAAAAATGACAAAAGCACTTCTATTTTGTGGGCATTATTTGCCCCAAAGTCAGATCATCAGAATGAACAATATTCATCTTGGTTGGATAACTCTACACTGTACATGTTGACCAACCAACAAGTAATTTATTATATTTTATGCTGGAGAATAGATAAATGTACTAATGATTCTAAATTCTTAGGAACTTTTAAAGTTTGAGAAGACTGACACTCTCCAAAACATAATTGAAGCTTTTGTGGATGATAACTTTACTCATCTTACACCTTTAGGACGTATTATTTCTAACAAAGAAATTAGCTATACCACCAGTAATATAAAAAAGATTCCCGAGTTTGAAACACTAATTGATGAAGATAAGTCAGCATTTGAGGTAAGTTAATAATATTATTTACTTATTTAATAAGCTTATACTTGGTAATATTTTTAAATTTTTTTTTCATATACATAGATACTTGAAGAGCCAGCTCATTTAATGTTACCATTAGAGACTCATCTTGAACGTATTTTACTCGCGTGCTTAAAAACATAAGTAAGTTTATTAAATAAAAAAAAAAAAATCATAGTTAAATATTTTATATAATAAGTAATAACTGATTGAATTTGATTTTACAATTATTTCACTATGTAAAAAAAATTTATTATTTGTTATTTAAATCATTTGTATAATGTGACTCTGAAAAATATAATATGTGCATTTAAATTTTGTTATGTCCTGAATAAATAAAATAAATGTAAAATAAATTGAAAAAAATATTGTTATTTACCTATTGTTTTACTAATTTATTATTTCATCTTGAATTCACTTTTTGACATCTTGGGTCTTTCTAATTTTGGAATTTTAACATTGCGCATACGTATAATGAAATAATAAATAATTTCTAAAAAGCTTAAAATGCTTGCTCCAACAAATAATGCAACAGAACCTCCCAATGAAACTGTAAAATACATCTTAATAAATAAATTTTGTAAAATAAAAGCTTAACATTATTTGGGTTTCAGTTTTTGCACATTGTGGAGTTATTTCATGCAATGATTAATTAGATAAACAAATAATTCAATTAATCGTATATTGTATTGTGTGACAATTATATAAATATTATTGAATAGCATATATTTTAAAATGTGTTCAATCATTATTCATTAACGATGAAAGTAATTATATATTTAATGTATACCCGAATCTGTATGAAATGTTTATTTTTTACATCAATTATTTATTTAAATAGTAAAATATGTTTCAAGTTTCATTAGAATGGCTATATTAGCACTAATAATTCTTCATAATGACATAATATAATAAAATAACCTTATAAATTTGATAAACTATATTAATTAAACAATTTTACCTAAGACGTCTAATCTTCCTCTAACGACATTGCGTTTAAGTCGCTCTGCTGGTAATCGGTCCATCATTAATTGTATAATCGATTCATTTTCATTAGTTCTATAAAATGAAATAATTTAGTATTTATTTATTTTTTATTTTTTTTTTTTTAAATTTTTAATCAAACTTACACAAATGATTCAACTGTTATGACATTTATTTCAGCTTCAATACAAGAAGGTACACATTGACATTCTAAACCTGGAAGCTTACTTAACTTTTTTTTTAATACTAATAATTCTGTTTCATGTGTATTTAAACATATAAGTCCATTTATATCGCAATGTTCACTTTCTTCTATAAAAATTTCATATTGTTTTGTGAATTATAATTATTATTATATATATTTTTTTAATGTTTTTAGGAAGACATACTACTATTAGGCATTAAATGGGAAGTACAATTACACATATCTAGTTGCTTTTGACGACGGCAATTTACAATGCAAGAACTATAACTGTATTTTGAATTGACAGCTAGGTAATTCTCTAATGGAAATCTGCATCTAAACTTGTGTAAAAATATTGTAGCATGATTATCACATTTAATTTAACTAACAAATCATTAAATTTAATTATATTTTATTATGAATAAATTAAGATAGTTTATAACATCAATCTATTTTTTGTACTAGTTTTATTTATTTATAAACTTTGAATGTAATAAAATGTAGGTTTATTATTAGTTTTTCAAATATTTATAAATAATTGTTAGTGATTTAATATTTTGATCACAAAAAAAAATGTTCTTCTCACCTGCGCTGTGAAATGCCAACATATTTGACTTCATCTTCATTTTCAATGTCTTTAATAACAAACTTATATTGTTTAAATATACCTGCCATGGATTGTAAAGTGTCAGAAGTTATTGTATTATAATATGGTACGTCTACTACTGAATGAATAAAAACCTATGTACAATATACATGTTATAGAATAAGACAGTTTTGAAATACATAAAGGTGATGTAAATCACCTGTTAAGTATTTACTACAACTGAGATTCACAAAACTCTTACTAATACCAGAAATGCTTATGTCATATGTTGTAGAGATTTAATAATAATTATTATTAAAGCTCTATATTTTTAAATCTTATAAATATAATGTAAAATTTAAAGTACAAAGTTTTAGACAAAAATTTTGCTGGTTTGATCAGTGTAGGATTGGCATAATATAAATTGGAATCACCTGACTAGGAGATGACAATTTTATGAGTAAATTGCTCGGACCTGTTTCACGATTTGAATACATGTTAATGAAATCATCAGAATCTGGCCTATATAAATAAATTTGTATATTAAGAATTAAAAAATTGTAATGCTAAGTAATTTTTTTTTTTTTTTTTAATTACATGTTTACATGACCATATTATTATGTGTATACTAACGATTCGTTTTCCATTGTAAGTGTGTAACAAATTCCTAGTTCTGTTTCAGTACGAACAAAATGCTTACAACAATCAAAGTCACGGACGTCATTCCAAGTGCAATTTAAAAACACTTCATCGCAAGTACTTCTTGCCTGAATAAAAATTGAATACATGTATTTTATTATCTATTCAAAATATCTATAGGTATTATATGATATTATAATTTCTGTTTAATTATTCAAGTGCAAATAGTTAGTTAAAACGAACGACCACTCACAGACATGGCTATTTTATTGAAATTATTTTTCGGGCAATTATATTGTCCAGTCTTACAAAATTCATTAATATAATAGGACTTTCCGTTGAAGTAAATTATCTCTTTTACAATCTCGTCCAAGTTGAAATTCCTATTGTTACCAAATATCCTAAACACGATATCAATAATTATGTTAAATAAAATGATTAGGTACAGCGGCAAGTACTTGACTTGGGGCCATCCAAATTGAGTACTTCAACTACATTTTCAGGTATTTTATCACATTTTAGGTACATTTTTTGGATTAGGCCGCATAAAGTGGTACCTATTTTATTTAGGAGTCTTATTTCTATAAATTTATAATATATTGGTTTGTAATAAAATATTTGAGGGTGTAATAATGATAATGTTGAGAGAGGGGAGATAAAGTCTGGTTATAATAGTTACCTATACTAATTAGCTAGGGAGTAGCTTAAAGTTATGCATTATTATAATAATAGTCCTCTACTGTTTTACATTTCCAAGTCAAGCACCAACAACTTATTCATTATAAATTATAATAATAAATTATATATTATATACTTATTGACTACCACTGTATATATCTATCATAATATGATACAATAATAATAAATAATCATTGGTGTTTAGTATGAAAATTAAAATCTATTTAACTTGTTTGCCAATTTCTGAATCTTGGCAACGTTGTTTATTTCGCATACGCTGACTGCCGGAAAAGTCGTTTGAAACTCCAAGGAGCTGGTTTCCACCACGAAACTAATAGCGTTCGTCTGATACGCTTCCCAGGAGTTCATCATTAACAAAGCGGAACCAAACCAACTCAGAGTACAGCAAATAAACCAAAACAACCTATTTACAATAAAATTCGGTTATTTTATGATAAGAATAGAAGTATTTGTATTAATAATAGATGATAACCATTAAAACTTCTATTAGTAGTAGAAAAATGATTCTCAATAAAAAAAAAGTTTATAGATACCATTACCTATTCCTAAAAAACATTTTTAAAATTGTAAGAATTTTAATATTTTAAAAATGTTTAATAATTTTAATAAATTCAATATTAAATGGAAAAATGAGCGTGATTTATCTTTTACAATGTAAAATTTATGATAGAAAAACGATATAAATCATTAATTTCTTTTTTATTCGTTTACACATAGGTATTTATTTACTTAAATTTTTGAATAAAGATACTGTTAAAAAATTAAAAGTAAAACATAAAGCCAAAATCTAATTGAAAGAAAAAAATTATTGTTGAAAAATTATTTACGTATATTTACGTACCTACCTAAAGTACCAATAGATAATAATTTGGATTTTATAATTATTAACGTTTCTATTGACTCATAACATTATTACATAGTATGTAGTATATACTATGTACTCAATAACTCAATAATACTAATTAATATATCAATTAAATCTTAAAATTGATCTGAAATATTTCTATTCAGTTTTAAGGACATAAGATTATTTATTTCTACTTGTACAATTTACTTCTTTTACAACTTTAGGCTTTAACCCCTGATAAATAAAATAAACATTGAACCTATACCCGTTACCCGTAGATCATAGCGTGCATTTATACTCACCTTTCTGTCCAATGACACTTGACGTCGCTTACATAGTGAAGACCGTGTATAGTCGATTGATCGGCGAATTCTTTTAACATCATTATTCTTATTTTCCTATAAATCTATGATGTATTGTGCCAGAACACTTTTTTTGTTACTTATGGGGTGTGGTTTATAGATTCATTACGGTTTACGCTCGGTACGAGCGACACTTCATGTATAATATCTATAATATAATACGATCTCAGTTTATTAATGTCAATCCACTCGATTTGATGTCATCGAAATGATATTATTATTGAAAAAAAATGTTAATTCGATAGGGTCCCGTAGATACGATCTTTATTAAATATGCAAATTGTCCGGGTAAACCAGACCAATAATTTTCACGGTTCTATACCTAATAATAACAGTAATTCGAGTTTGAAAAATAGTCACGCTAAAAAAAGAAGGAAAAATGATAATATAATATGTGAATTATGCGATAATAGATAATTATTAAGTTTCATGACATGTAGCCATGTAGGTTCCTTATCGTATTGTTTATTAGTTATTACATGTTATTATTAAAATACTATGACGGTGGTTATACACTTCTACAATATTATGTATTTATGTATAATATGTACCTACAATATTCAATAAATCTAAAAATTCATTTTTTAGCTATCAGTGCCATAATTCCACTCTTGAATAAAATTACTAGGAAATTGCTATTTTTGATTTGTAATTTTTTTAAATTATTCGTTAGTTATTATTTATTACATTTTATTGTAGTGGTCAGATTTTATAAGCATTATAAAATCATAAAATATGTTCTTAAAAGTGCGCGTTTATGCATCATACAACTATACAAGTATGTATGGTAAAATATGCTGGTAAAAAACAATGTTTTACTAAAAAAAAAATTATGATTTTTATTTTTAATAAATATAAAGCAAGTTATAGCGATGTTTATAAATTCTTCATTTATTAATATATATATATATATATATAATTGTTAATTTCTGAAAAAATAGATTAACAATTATAGTAAAATACAGAACAAAAATAATATGCTACTTTTAACTTAATATATAGATATAAGTAGATTTTTTCATATTTTTTACATCTACTGAATGGCTTTATTAAAATTTATATATATTTTTTAAATTTTATACATATAGACTTTATTCAAATTAAAATATAGTATAATATGCCATAAAAACATCAAATATTATCTTAAAATTATAAAATATACTATAAAAATGTTGAAATCTACTTCTGAAAAATACTCGTTCAAAACTAAAATTTAATACATTGTTATTTTCTGAAAAACATTTTTCTTCTTAAAAAAAAAAATATTTATAAAAACGATAATACTTTTTTAGAAAATAATATTGTATTTCAAAAATAATTATGGTGTATGTTATATTACTAGTGTACCTACTACTGTTGTTTATACAATTAAAACGATTTTTTTATGATATTATTGTACTATCTGATTTAGTTTTATCTATAGTTATTCATAAAAACACTTTTAAAAGGAATAATAGAGATAAAGTAGCTCCTAACATCCCTGATTTCACAAATTTATTTAGGGGGGGTTATTGGGCTACGCCCCTCCCCCTTCAAAATAAATGTTTTTAGTTGAACCTTTAATGCAAGAACACTATAAATAATATAATACCCATAGCTAGTAATATACTTTATTCTTTCATATACCGTGCACCTAAAGAGCATATACACAATTCGAAATATTCAACAACGAACTATTAAATTATATAATAATAAATCATCTTTAATATAGATACACATTCGTCGGTTTCTACATAGTCATGACCATTTGTGCGTAATATTTCTCGACTCTATACAAAATGTATTATATTAAACATGTTTTTGTGTTAAAAAAAAATAATAAAAATAAAAAACGCACTGTAATAACGCGACTCGAAGGGGCTGTCGGTTGTAGCAGTGAGTAAATATACCAATTAAATAAACATAATATATTTTTATTTTATAGTTATACATACAATAACTTACCTAAACGTGTATAATAATACTCACGATAACTATATTATGCACATGAGTACGTGTACTTAGTGCCCCCCCGGTGAACTTTCTCCCAGACTTATAAATTTTATATTCACATATGTACCTATTATACCTACTATTATATGCCTGTAGTCTGTACATTGTACACATTATAAAACAAACAGTTTGTTTACAATCTCGTTATGATAAGTATATATATTATATATATATATATTGTGTTCGAAAGAAAATGTTTTGTTATAGGTATTCGTTGTTATAATTATATTAATGAATCTCTGGATAATTGGATCGGTAAAATTAACATTGAAAAACAAATAAAATAATATCGGTTTACGAATATCTACTCACTCAAAAAAACATTAAATGTTTATATTAACTATATCAATATATTATAATATATAAAGTTGAGTTATTACTCATTATACTTATTTTATCATGTGACTATGTGAGTTAGGAAATAAATATCTGTTATAAGACGTGTCAATAATTATTATGATTTATACTATTTATAGAATTAATAATAATCAAAGAAAAAAAATCATTCACCAATTAATGTTTTTTTTTTCATTGAAAAATAGATTCTTTTTTATGCACAATATTTTAAAGGGTTATTATTATATATTTTGGTAAATACCTAATCAAAAATAAACAACATCATAAAAACGTCTGGGATACATTATATTTATTTATGTTATATATTGTGTGTGTGTGTGTGTGTGTGTGTATTATACTTAAATATAAAAGTGTTTGGATACATATACAAATACAATGATCCATTGTTAATTTTTATAAAAAAAATGTGCGTTTCTTAAACACTAAATACACATAGCTTCTATGTACGTCGACTGATTTCAAAACATGTGAGAATGAACTTTTGTGCATGTAATATATTATTATATAATATTTGATGTATAAACACAAACATTTTGTGAAGTTTATAAAAAAAAAACCCTTATGGCTTATAATAATTATCAAGCCACAAGTTTTATCAAAAAAATTCAGAAAATTACCGTTATATTATATTTTTGAACGAAGAAAAATATATATATTGATATAGGACCGATTGGCTTGTAATTCATATTACCTGTGGGCTGTGACACATACTAAGATATAAATCCGCTTTAATGAGATTTAAAGTTTTCAATTTGTCAGTCGTTCTTCGTATAACAAACATTTCTAACGAACACAAGTTACTAAAATTCTGGTAACATAGTTTTTCAAAATAATGCGGCGCGCCTCTGTCGCGTTGACACGCTCATGGACCAGTGACGGCCGGACGGTTTCTCGAGGACTTTGAATGTCTCCGGTACTTGATCGTCGTAAGACGTACCGAAATTATAAAACTACATTACTACCAAATTTCCGTAGAGACACTGACGGACAATTTTCGCACACGGTGTATACGTTATGACGACTGTCTGCCGCGGCGTCTACTTTCGGTTTCGACGGTAGTCGTTACTGTCCTAGTATTGGCATTCCAGGTGCCATCAGTCGAGTTTGACTCCACTCTGAGTCATCTCAGGCCGAAGAGTGTCAAACATAACAATAAGCCGCAAAGGCGGTTCAGACAATTCGATGACTGGTTGCAGCGATCATAAGATTACAACGGGTCTGAGAAAGCCCGGCGAGTAGTATTCGCAGTATTTGTAAGAGTCACAAGCCGAAGAATTAGTAAATCGTATGTCCGTACGTGGATGGAAGTTTTATTTGTTGTGATGTGGGTGACAGTGAAAACAGTTCAGTAATCTATCTGTCCGTAACAAGGCGAGCTGTTACTGCCAAGACGACACATCGATTCATTAAACGGATGAATGAAAAACAGGTCACTGTGGAAAGACGGTCGAATATGATGGAACTCATGATATCGAATCGGTTAATGGGTAATCCTCAAGACTGTCGTTTATTCTGGCCGTCATGGCCCATCGCAATTTAATAGAAAAAAAAATAATAAGAGCAACAATGAAGAAGAATTTGGTTATGTCACGTAATTAGTCAGAAAAATAAAAGTTGTATTCAGCATAAAAACATATGTTTGTCAAAAATCAACGATTAAAGATAGTGTAAAAGAAGTATTGAATAATTTTCTGAAATAATGAGTGTCTTACATTAAATGGATCACTCTATATAAATACTATAAATATATCATAAAATATGCTTATTGATATTATAATCCGACAGGCCGTTTTTGGTCATAATCGCTTTTTGTATGCACTATGCAGTGATTTATCATTGAATTAAAATTTAACTCATTACAGTGACTTAATGATAAAATGCATTTGACATGTATCGTAGAGAAGTTATTTGCATTTCTCCTTTTTAATAATTTTTTTTTTTTATAGCTCTAGAGTTTTAAATAAATACATTTTACAATGTAACCTTACTTTTTGGTGAATAGGCAATACAATGCTCGTTTAAACATAACATTTTGCATGTGCAGAAGACGGCGAAAAAGATTGATTTTATTAATTTGAGTAAAATACTCGTATATAAAATACTGCGAAAAATAAACTATAAACAATAAATATACTTACCTGCCTCGTTCTCCGTGCCGAGTATTTATCTACAAATAAGTATTTAACTAAACTAAAAATTAATTTTTTCATAAGTAAAATGTATTATCTATTTTTATTCGTATGGTGTATAAGATAGGGACGAGTTGTTTTCACACAGAATAACGCAATCTCATTTTCAAATAATTTTTTTGCACAGGAAAATATTATTATTATTATTATTATTATTCGTTGAGTTATGTGTGTTCGTTTAAATCCAAATACATAATATGAAAATATCGAAAGACGTGATATTTATGTACCTACATTGTACGTTATATGAGGGTTATATGCATAAAATAATATAAAACGCCCGCAAAAACGAAAAAAAATTATATACCGTCTGATAATTTATTGCAAGGAATCATTAGATAGATTTAATTTAATTTTTTCTCCATAACCAACACATTTTACCTTATCTTCTAAACCGATATTGTTTATACTTGAACTCTGCATAATCGATACTCCAACTCAGTGACCTTACATACGATAAATAAATTGTACTAAAATTTCGAATAGTATACGAGATCGCCGATTGCGTATAATAATTAATATTATAACCGAAACGGAAAAAAAATATTTACAAAATTACACCACAATGAGATGGACCCGTATATTCGTTCAACATTTTGAAGGAGGAAACCTCCTCTACCCATTAC